CTGGTGCAGCAGCAGGCTCATAGTGGTAGTTCTGAGAGCCTGCAGGCTGGTACGCTGCTGATAAGCCAGAGAGAGAGGTGGAGGACCAATGAAGGAGCAGAAAACATACAGCATTTGTCTAACTCTCACTAGGCGATACAGTAGGATTCAGTAGCAAGAAACATTATAATCTTGCAATCCATATTCTATTTTGGGGAGTAGAACTAAACTTTTAATGCAAACTGCAAATGCATGTTATGCCAGGTATTTTTACTCCCATCATTATGTCTGCATGCACTCTTGTGTGAGAAATTCAAAAGCACAAGTCTAAACATGCATCCAATGGCTCTTGATTTCCCTCTTACATAACCTAGTGAACAATGGCATTCTGTGTACAAGTGTAAACGCCAGGCATATAAAATACAGCAGGTACACTGGTCATTCAAATACTTATCTAAATACTTACATATAAACATCAAAATATAACTTGGATTGTATCACTTCAAAGTACATTAGGTCTGACCTATAATAATTAAATAAAAATAGAGCAATTTTCAGTGGATTTAACCATTACATTTCAGATTGAGCAACATTGAAATGACTTTGGTAATTGAGAAATACAGAATTTTCTGCAGCAATGCAACTATTTATTCAGTATGGGCTGAATACTGAATAGGAGGGACAGTAGTGAACAAGTTACAACTAAGATCCCTGAGTGTTTTGGAAACATCCAGTCTGGTAAGCTGCTGCAGCCTGTGGCACAGACGGAGCCAAGCACAGACAAAGAGAAATGATTTAGTTTATGTATTTAGTGCCTTGTTCTCAGACAAAATTTAAAAACTTACCTGGGTTAGGGCTGCTTGGCTGCTGCAGTGGGCCCTCTCCTGCCATCTTCTTCTTTTCAAACTCCTCATGATACTTGATCTGCAAGAGGCAAACAAAAACAGTCTAAGGTCACAGATAAAGAGAGTGCATGCACCTTCATGTAAGACTATGTTAAACTTAAGCCTTTTTAATACCACAGAGAATGTTTTGTGGTCATACTGACTAAAATATGAAAGATATCAGTGAGAACCAGAAGGAAGGAGATGACCTGGAATTACTTACAAAGCAAATTTATTGACATTTATATCACATTTTTTGTCACCCAGCTGCATAGGACAGTAACTCAATGTTAATGTTAATCATGAAACTAAACTTAGACCTGGTTAAGCAGCAGAAAACCGATAGATAAATGCACAGAAAGACTAAATAATTAAAACATAACCAATTAATTTAATGTCCACTCATGAATTTTATAAAACAGAGGTCACAATACAGATGAAGACGCTGAGATTCACATACAGAAATCACGTACAAAAATATAGACAGAGATGTCATTTTTTGTCCTTAGCAGATTAAGAAAGAAGCATGTATTCTGACAAATGAATTTAGAACAAAATTCCTTGGAATAGCAGCAGTTTTAAAACCATATGCAACACTGAGTTTATTCAGGAAGCTGTCACAGGGTGAAGTTCACTTTCTATCCACCAGAGGTCTCCCACTTGCTCTCCAGCACCCATGTGTGGGGATAGGTGGGGCACGCTATGTGCAACAAAGCCTCCGGAAGCAGCTAGACACTGAGAGGAAATGACATTGCATAGCAACCAACCCTTGTGGACACATCAGGAAGAACAGGTGAAGTGAAAAAGTAAGTGTAAGGAAACAAACTTGAAGCCCGAATGCTTTGTTTGAGAATGAGCCAGCTACATTGGACAGGAAATGCTGAGGGGGAGGCGAAGAGGTGGGGGACAATATGACTAAGCATACCAAACCCACATCATTTATAGCATTAATAACTCAAGTGTAAGTGGACATTTTGGTACAAGCTTTTGGAATCTCCAAATCATAAACTGAGGTGTAACTTGGGAAGAAAAAAAACTTCAGGTTCCAAGAATTCATGATCAACCTATGATCTCTCCAGCCAGTGTGACAAAGGCAGCATTCAGTGTTTCAACATAAAACAGGGCCACACTGAAGAAACTGAGTGACTGCTCTATAACTGCACTAAATAACCCACTCCCCTTATTACCAGGCTGACAACAGACTGACTCACAGTGCCTCAGTCAAGATTTACACCCCTGATTCTGTGTCTGCTCAGACCCGTGCTCAAAGAGCCCACTGTGCCGGCAGCATTAGCGAGAAGTGTATTCACAGACTGGATGTGAATACTGAGTGTTTGTGCAAGGACAGCGAAGCGAGTTAAGGAAAAAGAAGAAAACAAAACCTGTGGCTGCCCTCAAGTGCAATATGCTAAATGAGAGTGTGTGAGGGAGATAATTTTGGTTTGTTTAGAAAGAGCGGGTCGAGCAGATGGCACGCATGTGTACTTACAGGAAGTGCTCGAGTTGCTGAACTAAACCTCCCCATGCCTCTTCTCAATCTTTGCAGATTGACAAGAAGGTGACAGGAAATGGAAGAGAGTGGACTGAGATGACAGAGCAAAAAATAACAAAAGACAGGTAACAGGAATGACAGATAGAGGCATGTCTAGATGAGTACAACTGAACAACAAGTTTCACATTGCTGACATTCTGGGGAGGGCGCTGAGGAAACTTGTTTCTTGGTGTCCAGGGAAGAGACAAAAAGAGAGAATAATGTAGCATTCATCTGGAGTGGTTCCCTTGTAATTGGTTGTGAATAACGCACTGATTGCGAGCAGATGTCTTGTATATCAGTCTGACTAAAACACTTCACAATGCATCTGAATCCATCCAGCCATAATGCGTTTGTTATCTTTATGTGGTTTGTGTGCACATGCATAAGTACGTGTAATAATGTGTGTATCTCTCTCTGTCCTGCAGATTTCCTTGATCTCAGACATACAAGATATTTCATCACATGAAAGCAGTAATTACCCATCACCCTCCACACTAATTATGCCATTAGTGAGACTGGTGTGGGGCTGGTTATGTGTAATGTATGTTTCGTGGGTGAGTGTGTTTCACATGGAAATAAATGCTTTTAAGCAGTCAGGGGACACGAGGTAAACGCTGCATGCATTTCTACATCGCTGCTCTGTATGTATAGAGAAATGGCAAATCAATAAAGGGAGCTTAGGGACAGAGGATGAAAGAATGGCCCATGTGGAAAACTGGAGGAGAATTTCATTACTATAAATGAGGAGCAGTGTGAGCAGAAGTGACTAGGTGGGAGAAGGAAAGATATTTAAAAAAAAAACAACTACAACAAGATGCAAAATGTTATAAAACATAACTCAATCTGATGATGTTCTGAGGCTAAGGTCAGGAAATCTCCTGGTTCTGCTGGTTTTCACCACTGAATATTTCAAAAGAGAGCTAATCTCAGTATTATACAGTCTTTAAATATGCTAAGCATGACCTGCATGCAAGTTAGCTTGAACCTGTGAAATCCAATTATTCTCTCCAGAACAAATCCTCAAGATTGGCAAAGCGATTATAGGCATAAAGTAAACATCACCCATGACCGACTTCACACCAGAGCACTTAATACTTAGTCTCTATCAAAGCACAGAACCTCTGCAACTATTCTGTGCCAAAAATAAACAGACAGAGTGAAGGCTGATCATTTCACTTACATTACTGATTTGATCCTGTGTTTTCTTAATTCTTTGCAGCTCTGGCGTGTCTGCGACCACGCTGAAACCTTTGCCTTTATTCTTCTCAAAATCCTCCCTGTAGAGAACCTGCAGAACAAACAATTATGTTAGAATCCAACCCCATTGTTATGGGGTTAATTATATTTACCACTATCAAAGAGTAACTTGCTGATAAGGCAAAACACTTGGTAGTGACATTTATAGACAATGCACATGTTGTCAAGTCAAGAATCTTTATTGTCATTATGCATAAAACAACAAATTTTTTCCGGCAGCTCTTGGCTAAAAAGACACATTATTTACATAACATAAAATTGTATAAGTCAATATAAAGGTATGAACAAATAAAGCAGGATGTATGGGACCTAATCAGTTCAGCAACATGTTGTGATGATATTTAAGAGTTTTTAAAAGATATATAGTACATCAGCTAAAAGTAATCTTTTAAAACAACATTAATTCTGGGGCTGAAATAATCAGTATATTCTTCTGCAGAAACTATTATTTAAGTAAAGGGTACAATCAAAGGAATGCTGGCCTTTCGTATATTGCTCAGTCTTTTGTGGTAATGTGCACTTCCTGTTTCCTGGGGAATGAAGGTCTTACATACAGGACATGGTAGCAACCATATATGGTCATAATGCGAGGTAGTGTATGACAAAGGGAGTCTATGTCTGTGTGTGCTTTATCCAGCCAGCCAAACCCTATCCCTGACCCTAAGGGCAGGGGAAAAATGCCCAGCCCATGCAGCATCAGCTGAGTATCAGGAACCACAATGCAAAGAGCTGTGCCTCACTGTTACCCCGTGGCTGATCTCAGCAACTCAAACTCACAGCCAAACATCAAACGGGAAGTCAGGGAGAGGTTTTATTTTTCCGGTAAAGAAACAGCCACACCTTCTGGTTCTTCTCCATTTGAGTTTCTCAGCATAGGCGAGCATCATGTCAGCAAATGACAATCACACAATTCCACCTCCCCATGCTAAACCTTTATTCCTGCCTCCATGGTGACTGAGCCAATTTTCTGCTCTCCTTCAAGAATGGAGCCTGCTTTTACAGCCCATTACCAGGAAAATAAGCTCCACCCTCCATCCTCTCCCATGACATCCACGTAATGTCTGACACTGCCAAACTGGGTCCTGACCAGTTCTCTCATCTCCTGCCTTGTGATGACATGGCTGTGATTCACACATAATGTGTGCGTGTGTGTGTGAGAGAGAGATATCAGTCACCCATGATGTAATCTCACTGAGAAATTAAGTAAAAATTATAGCTGCCCCTCATTCCTAAGGAAATTATAAACAGGTCTCAAGCCTGTGTGCAAAGATAAGTCAAGGAGATGATTAATGTGGCTTCAACCCATCCTTGTCCTTCATTCTCACTCGACTCCCATCAGTAAACATATGATCCTCCCCATTTTTCTCAGTCCATCTTCCTTTGTCTTTTTAGCTCTATGCAACAGCTTCTTCTCCTCCAATCATGCCTCCGCTTTCTTTCGCCACCCACACCCCCTTCTCTCTGTCCTCCTTTTTCATTCATTCATATTTTACTACCTCAGCAGCAACAGACAGTCATACCATAGAGCTCTTGCTCATTATAATCTTCCTCTTCACTTCTCTTTGCATTCCTCCAGATCTCCTTCCCATTGGGATTTCTTTTATCTCTTCCTCCATCACCCAGCACTCCTCCCTCTCTCTTTGTTGGTGCCTTCATGTCTCTCTTTTTCCTCCTTATTCATGTGTGGCTCTCCCTCTCCTCCTCGCCAATCTGCTTTCCTCAGTTTCTTTGTTTCTCTCTCACCTCTATAATAATAATAATAATAATAATAAATAATAATAATAATAATAGTAAGGCCTAGACCTTAATTTGTAAAATGTCCTGAGATGACATTTGTTGTGATTTGGTGCTATACAAAAAAAACAAATTGAATTGTTTCCCTCCACAAAGTCTTGAAATGAGGTGAGACAAACCTCTATCATGCTACCATAGCAATAGGGTTCCCGTAGCAACACGATGGCTGTGGTAGTGAGGGGTTAGATGGTCGCAGTTCTCCACAGACACCTCCAACTTTCTCATGCCAACATTAAAGTTCTTGTATTACTGTGTAAAGCACATTAATACTGTGATAGCTCACAATCATCACAGTGCAACAGGCCTATTCATTATTATGTGCGAGTAGTGTGCAATATGTTTTTGCTTTATTATTTTTTGGACTTTATCTGAAAATTAAAAGGTGAAATGGGTAAAGAAGAATTATATATTATAAAATAGCACCTGCAGTACAAACATTTAAAAACTGACCTTTTCTTTAACAGAGTCTGGCTGAGTAGCTGCACAAATCACTTTTTACTTCACTTTGTCATCCATAACATATTTTATGCCAACTTTGTCAGAAGAAATCCTTGCTTACAGTAAACCACTGTCATTTTAATTTTTTGATCAATCAAAGAATCATTTTAGACCTGCTTCCTTCCAGTGTTTAAGAGACATTCATGGAGAAGGTTCTGTCTAAGCCAAGCTGGAAGGAAGCTAATGTAACCAAGCAGTTTTTGAGAAAACTGTGCAATTTGACCATTGCACAAATTATATTATTTATGAACCTACACAGCTCACTTTTTTGTTAACTGTGCATGGCAGCTTCAGCACAAAAAGATTAGAACTGAGCCTGTAATATGACACTGGTGTAAAACGACTGACGTGCCTTCTATGATAAGCTCTGCCAACACGCAGGACAACACACTCTCTCCCCTACTAAACACTGAGAAAACATGTTTCTTCTTTAGCTTTTTCCCCACACACCCTTCCCTGTTTTCCTACTGAGATGTAAAGAGAGCTGCCTACACCTGTCCCTCCAGGATCATCATCAAAATGAAGGGGCCTTTCTACAAAACTGTGCTAAATCATATTTGCAACCATGTGTCATTTTGCAATAAAACTGTTGCCACCAAGGAGTTTCTCTGCGCCTGCTTTAGTGCTCACAGAAGTTCCTAGAACACTAAGGAAACACAGTCCAGGTACCATGGCATGAATAAGAGAAGTGAAACCTTACATGGCAGACTTCCAGGTTGATGACAGTCTGCCACTAGTTTACCCCCATAATAATAATAATAATAATAATAATAATAATAATGTGTAAAAAAATGTTAAGTCTGTTGGCGAGTATAAATCTCTCCCAACTCTCTATCAGAGCAGATTATTATTAAAGCAATAACACATGACTCAGTTCATGTTATATAATGTGTTATTGTATAAATCTTAGCTTATATTTGGGTCTTTGTTACATTATCTTCTGAAGGAACAGCTGTAGTAGGCACAGATCAATCCTCAATAGGGGACTATTTGGAGGAAAATGGGTACAGAAATTATTTGTTAGCACACTTAAATCTTCTTCTTCTCCTTTCGGCTGTTCCCGTTAGAGGTCACCACAGCGAATCATCTGTTTCCACCTAACTCTATCCTCGGCATCCTCTACTCTCACCCCAGTTAACTTCATGTCCTCTTTTAGCACATCCATATATCTCCTCTTTGGCCTTCCTCTTGACCTCTCGCCTGGCAGCTCCATCTCCACCATCCTTCTACCAATATAACTACTATCCCTCCTCTGCACATGTCCAAACCATCTTAATCTGGCCTCTCTGACCTTGTCCCCAAAACAGCCGACCTGAGCTGTCCCTCTGATGTGCTCATTCCTAATCCTGTCCATCCTGGTCACTCCTAAAGAGAACCTCAACATCCTCATCTCTGCCTCTTGTCTTTTCCTCACTGCTACCGTCTCTAACCCATACAGCATAGCTGGTCTCACTACTGTCTTGTACACCTTTCCTTTGATTCTTGCTAATACTCTTCTGTCACACAACAGCTCAGATTCATCTGTAGTATTTGACACAGACACTTAGCACACTTAAATAAACCTGCAAAAATTGTACAGCCACAAAGATGCAGAGAAAATAATAGTGCATTACTATTGGGCCACACATCAGTGCCTGCAGCAGCACTGCATTACTCAGTCAACATGATATGGCACAAAAAGCATAAACTTTATCAGGCTATAATTGAGTTTTTAAGCCATCCCAAAAAAAGCATACAAATGGCAGCCATACACATTAGCACTGGTGGAATCAGTAGTGTGAAACAAGACGGCTGTTCCAGAAGGCAGGCATACCACATAGGGATTATTAGACTACATTCAGCTTATGTTTGGGTTTGATCATTCTAGAATACAGGGTATGTCAACAAGCTCCAGCCAGGCTTTTGTCTACACATTCAATTCTACAGACACGTCCACCTCATTCTGATGAAAACAATTATGTCCTAACTAATTTTCAGGCTGAGCTTATACTCAAATTTCAGTATTGGAGTACTTAACTGAAACTTTGAGTTCTGCCAGTTTATTTAAATCTAAAAAGCTAAACAGGCTTGTATTTAGAGTTAAGGAAAACTACAGCTGCAATGCTTTGTTATGTAACAACTATTGCTTTTCAACTGGTGATAAAAGGAATTGGAAAGTGTTACGAAACATATTTAGCAAGGTCCTATTTGATAGTATTACTTCCCAATATAACTTAAGGGGAATCAGTATTTTAGTGTATTTCTAGTGGCTTGCACAATGTAAAGACTGAACCAATAACAGGAGAAGCAGCCTCTTCTTCCACACTGGATTGGAACCAGAGCCTCGGTAATTACTGAACCAACATTCATGTACTGTATTAAGACTGCTTATCTCCAAGGCTGTGTCACACTCTCTTATACAAGGCTAGTCATGTTTTCTTTGTTTCTGGAAAAAGAGTTTTGCCTTTAACTATTGTTTTGCCATCATATTCCCTGACTGTGGGGGCACCCATATGGTAGTTGCTACCAGAACAACTTTGAGGGTAAACTTAAGTTTTTCAAATTAAGCATATTTTTTAATTGCCTCCTTTATGGAATTAGGCCAAACGATGAACAAAAGGGGTTTTCCATTATAGGAACCTATCAAAATGTGTTGTGCAAAGTGATGCTGATCATGGGCTCTGCGTTTGTTTCTACTATAGTGCGCATGCTTTGGAGGTGCATTCTGGGAGCTAAATTTCAGCACTCTTCAGGAGCTGGTACAGAAATAAAGTACCAGGCACATGAGGGAAGAGGGGGCATGTGATCACAGAGCAGTCACCGGTAATTGGTTAAATGTCCGTGTCTTCACACCTTAAGCATTAGCATTACAAGCACCGTGTGAAAACAACAAGTGACAGCGTGTGTGAGAGGAGTGCAGCCCCTCCCTCCTCTAAACAGACCAACAGAGAATACAGTGAAAAAACAAAGCAGGATGGTCCGCGTCAGCCCCGTAGGCTATGCTTGGTCATGGTTAAGGGAAGAACAGGGTACTGCTTGTTGCTGATAGTGGAAACGCAGCAAAACAGTGTGTGTGTTTTTCACAGCTGGAGTTAGGATTAGTCATGGGTCATAGCTTCAAGATTTACCTGGCTCTGCATCTTGCTCTGTTGTTTGAGGCGGAGGTTCTCTGGAGTGTCAGCCACACAGGTGAATTGTGTCTTGGGGTAGTGTCTAGAAAATAAACACACAAAACAGCAAAGACTGTCAGCACACAGTAAACATACACAAAGGACATTCCAGGGTTTACTCAGATTCACACTGTCAGGCTCAAGCTTAGACTAAGAGGGGAAAAAACAGCATAACTCAAGCAGTGTGCAGTCTGTCCCCACAGTGGGTGCACTTATTATTCAAGGTGGTCCTGAGGTTGAGTTAGGGGCCCCTGTAGACAAAAGGCATGTCAGTATAACACACAATGCTCTGTCAGTGGGACCAAAGGTAGGTCTGGCAAAGAGGAAGTGCAGGCAGCGGCTGTAGGAGGGTGAGAGCCTCAAGACTGTGAGGAGTATTGAAGGCAAGCCATAGCAGGTGTGGCAAAAGGCACAAACAGGAAACAAGCACACACATACCCAGCAAGTCCTTATGAGGGGATAACAGGTAGAGAAACACCATGTAAAAGACAGCAACAGGGTAAAAGAAACTGGGCAAATGTAAATGATGCCATGGGTAGCCCATCTCTTTTCAGAATTGATTCTGGGAATTTTCTCGACAGCCGCAGACCCATAATCACCCGACCTCCTACTGCTCAGGAGAAAAGTCTTTGCCTGAAACAAATATAAATATACACAAGTAAACAAACACTCAACTTCCACGCAGACATGTACACATGCATCCATCCAAAGGCCATTCATCACATTTACTTATTGTCTAAAATGCAGTGAGAGGTTTGAGCATGCAAAGGCATAAATAAGTGTTTTTATACACTAGAGGCATCAGTGCACACGTAACCTTCAGTTCCACAAATAATGGTTCTTACCAGTTCAGTGTGGTAAGGAAACAAAAACACATTGCTCATATCCAGGAGGGGAAAAGCCTTCATGGCTTATATGGACTGCAGTTCCCAGCATGCCTCAGGGCACTGGGTGACCTCAAAACTCTTCACCCATTATCTGTGACTCTGGGTAACCCATTTAGGCAACATGCTTAGTCTTTCCTTGGTAAACAAGCTGAATTAGCATTCACATGTGGTGATTATGGGATATATAAAAATAAAAAAAATGACTGTGGTTGACTGATTTTGCATAAAGTTCTGTTTTTTTTTTTTGTATTTTAAAGGAGCCACTTTAAAGAAACCCAGAGGATAATTTTAGAGTGAGAAACATGAATGAAACATGAATCTGAAGTAGAAGGTTGACTGAAGTTGGCATTTTAAGTCATGTCATATACAACAAACTGAAACACGGCTCTCTTCCTGCATTCATCACAACACATGCAGGTCTCCGCACACTCACACTGTATCTTTAGAAAGGATTTTCCTAGAACAGCAGCTTATCGGCAACATTCAAATGCAGTGGTTTAGCAGCCGAGGCCAGGCAGACGGTGAAAAGCTAATCAAACTATGCAAATTATACTTCTCTGAGATATCTAATTACAGAAGCAAAAGGATATTTCCCTATGCAGATAATACTCTTTTTTTCATTCTCAGGTCATATAAAAATGTCATCTGCTAAAGCTGAGTGCAAACATCCAAAACTATGTTACATCTGTAATGAACAGGGCTGAAATGAGGCTAGGTGGCTAAATGTCTATATTGTCTAAAACCAGAACTGTCAACTAATTCTGGGCGGGGCACATCAATGTCAAATATTCGCAATCTTTATTATTAATATCTTGTGAGTCTCAGTGTAATAGCAATATTTTAAAGGGCCCATACTTATATCAGTAAGGCTGATTAATGCTGTTTGGCAGTAATGGTTGAAATGCTTACATTTCATCATTTATCAGGTTTTCATCTGACAATTATCGGTTGAAATTTAGCAAATTTTGCAAATTTCAAATTTATATAGTTTTGCATTTTGTGAACCCCAGTGGATCATTTTCCAAGCAACATTATCTGTATATACACTTATTTTCCTAAACACTTCCTTTCACAGAGCATCGCTGTGCTTGAAAACCTCTGTTGTTTGAGGTAGAGTGTGTGTGGCTTGAGCACACACCCTCACAACCCACCTCTGTGTTAACACAACAGCGTTCCCGTCATCTTCAATGTGTCTTTGGAAACGGTCTGTTCAATGAAGGGTCAGTAAATTGCTATATAAACATACAATAGGGTTGGAAATACAGTATAAGCCGAGTGACTCAATGAGATGTTGTTATACATGTCTGGGCGTACAACCGTGCCTGGGTTTTCATGCCTGTTTGAGAGTATGGGTGAGTCACAAGAACACTCATCTATCTGTCCGGTTGTATAACAAGGCAATAAGTCACAGAGAGGAGAGGGTGACATGCACAAGCTCAGTTAGCCCTGTGAACGCTAAAGAGGGAGCGATCATACTGGAGGTGGAGGGGTGAGGGGAGAGCATGTGTAATCATACAGCGTGCATGCACGCACACACACGCGCACACACAGCCTATTGTGCAGGAGGACAGGCCTGTTTGCATCAGGGGACCAGGAGATTTTGTGGCTGCACTCTGAAAGATCTGAAAAGGTTGTAATCCATCATTCAGGTGGCACATTTCATCTGCATGTACATAGGTTACTGTCATATCCCCCAAACCCTTTTTATTTCAGCGTTTCTGTAATCAACACTGGAACCAGCTCAGCTCCTGATGCCTTCCTCATCATATGTGAAACATTTTTCTTTTTAATCCTTTTTCCACCAACAATATTAACGATGTCAGACTCCAGATGTATCACTGGTGACAACTCTCCACATCATGATCCCCTACAGCAATAGTCAACCCACTTGTTAAGAATCCCACACCCAACTTTCTCCATCTTTTTTTTTTTTTACTTAATATATTTGATAAATTTCAATCAGGCTCTTGATCACTTCACAGCACTAAAAGTCTATTTAGATGCTTCCACTAGAACATATCAGCAAAACAATATTTATTATCACTGTTATGTGGATGACACTATGTCACACTGAAAAAAAAAGCAGCTTGAACCAGCTAATGGCTTGTCTTTCAGAAATCAAGTACCAGATGTCCCACTCAACTTCCTCCAGCTAAGTGCAAATAAATCAGAAATAACTGTATTTGGTCATCTGTATCCTCCAGGTCCATATCCTCTCTAGGGAACATTCTTGGCTCCCTGTTCACAGATATCAAAGTGGCAGTCAGAAACCTGAGTGGGTGTTTGAATAGTGATCTCTCCTTTGACAAACAAATCCCACGTGTTGTCCAATTGTGCCAACTGAAGATCATTCCAAAAGTCAGGTCCTTCCACTTTCGCACTGACCTTGAGAAGGCGATACATGCTTTATATCATCACGCCTTGACTATTGCAATTCACAGTATTCAGGGTTCAGTATACTATTCAGTCACTTCAAAAGGTTTTAACAAATTCAAAATGACAAGAACACATTAGGCCAGATCTAGCCTCCCTTCACTGGTCACCAGTCAGCTTTAGAACTGACTAATATTTTAGTGATCGCATTTAAAGAGGAATGTCCTAATAAAGGACTCATAGATCACAGTTCATCTGATACTTTACTGATGATTACTGGTCTATGAGCCTATTCCAAAACAAATACAGAAAGCAGACATGCCACATTGTGGATGTAGCTTTAATGTTGACTGGTTATTTATTAACAGATGACCTCAAGCACAATTCAAGATGGTGTTGCAAGGAAGGAAACTAGCAGGCACTGAGACATTTGTGTTGTTAATAACACCAAACTGATGTTCAATATAATATCAGACTATCAGTCACTATGGCAGCGTCCCACCAATGGCTCCAGAGGAAATGAAGATTCTTTTCTGTCTACTTATCTGTCCTCCTCAATCTCCCATAATCCCTTCCTGTGACTCTAGCATCTAATTGGGGATTCTAAGAGAAGAGATGGGTGGGAATATAGCAAAAACAAACAACACCTATATCAATTACTAAGGGCAAATATAGAGAAGTAATGATGAAGTAGTTATCCCACAGAATAATAACAGAGAATGTAGTGTGCATTCCTTTCCTGAGACAAGAGGCTCTTCCACTGATGATGTTTACTTGAACAATGCTTGTTTTAAACAAACAGAAAGAGGCATAATAAACAGGCTCTGAAGGGCACTGCTCCTGTTGGCTTGGATTGTCGAGGGAACATGTGAAGTGAAAAAGGGAAAACAAGAAGCCAGTCACTCTTCAATCTTGATGTAGATGTGACAGACATAGACGTGACAGACAAGAAGGGACAGGGTCACAATGAGATCATAAATTTAGGACAACAGTGTTTAAGAGACGTTAACATTTGAAACTACTATGCTCTATTATCTTATACAAAACTTGCACACAGGTGTTTTCACCTACTGTGGCTAATTAGACCCTGAGCCAAATGCATGTCAATAATGCAGAGCCAAAACTAATGAAAACACTTGTATGGTTGTATCACAGCCTGTGTTTCCCATACGTTGACTTATTTGTGGTAGGCAACCACAACATAAACACTGACAGCCACATGTCTGATTTAAAATACATAGGTTACAGAGGTTAAATCTTATTATATTGTAGCGCTGTGCATAAGGCATGTATTTGCTCAGTCCCTCCGTGCCCTGCTCTATTTCTCTCTCTCGCACACAAACACATGACGACGGACCTTCTGTGAACAACTCCTCCTCTCATTTGTCATTTTAACAACGCTGTCAGTTACAGAGATCCAACTCTTCTGATAATGATAAGCATTTGAGGACACATGAGTGCACAGATCAACGCAGCCAGTTAACCTGGAAATTATTTACATGAACGTACAGCATTACATTTTCAGATCTAGTGAGTAATTATTTTTATTTTCTCATCCAACCCTTGAAGGAGCTGGAAATGTTCCAATTTGAGAGAGAAATGTATAATTATCCTGAGTGGTGTGATTCTGTCTCATGAATACAGAGAATCAGAAAAAAGTTGAATGATTCTGGGAAATTTAGCAAATGTATCGGAGTTCATGGTAATATTTGAAGTTGGTGTGCTTAATGTGCTTAGCCAACTGAAACACGGTACTGTCTGATAAAGAACGTGTTTATTGGCTGTTTGTGGCTAATAAACATAGACAAACACACTTCAGTATCCAAATTTAAACAAACAAAAACTATAGAAAACTGTCGAGTTTCCACTAGAGCTGAGAACGATAATGCCAGATGTGTCATGGTTTATTTCCCTGGCAATAAAATGACAGTTCTGAGAAAAAAAATGCAGAAGAGCTTGTCTGAACATGAAGCAACACAATCTCTGTGCCTTCTCTCTGAGAACATGCACTCACTGTCACAAACACAAAGGGGAAAAGAAAATCATTATAAGCAACAGGAAAGGGGGATTCCATGGATTCCTGATGAGCCTTCAGTGGGTATGTGCCGAGGCGTGAGTGGACGAGTGTCTGCCTGTGTCACTGTAGAGGAACTTTAGGAATTTCCTTTGTTGATACCCCCCCCTTCCCTACCAAGGAGGGAGGCAGACCCTTTCCCACACTATATGTAGGGCTTTTGTCGGGGCAGTTGCAGATAAATAGCAGAAGAAGGAGAGAGGGGCCACAGTTGGGTTGCAACATACACACACATTCTCTCAGAGAGTCCTATTTCAGTCTGTGGGCAGATTAAACACTGCTGTCACTGTCTTTGAGATGAAGGATGAACCAGTTTAGTATAAAACAACAGACATGCTCTCTGACATGTTCAAAATGATGACTTAGGGACAACTTACGCATTGCAGTATGGTCTCTTCTCGAAGCCTTTGTAATTCTTCATGTTAAGAGTCATTTTGCAGACCTCGCAGCTGAAACATCTTTTATGCCAGCACTGTCAAAAACAGAAAGACAGAGAGAACACAATATGTTAAGGACAGGGAGATCTGAGACATCAATAGTCGTTTTTACACTAAGATCCCGCACTACTGCTGTTCCAAAGGGTCGCCAATATCCCACCCTTGTGCTGTTCATATAGATCAAGCTAAGGGCGGCATAATAGCGAGCCAGCCTGTGAATTTAGACAGCAGGCAGGCATTCCACACCAGAGAAAGACACGAAGTCGCGCTGCATCAACCATGATGTAAATTTTGCACCGGTAGTCTATAAGCCAAAACAATGGAGAGGTAAGTGTGGATGTAGCTTTGTTGGCTCCTCAAGCATTTAATTCACTTCACGCAAAACTGAGTAATAACTGCAGTCAATGCATTCATGGCATCAGGAATGCTTTGACCTATAAGTTGGAGAGAAGCTGAGAACAGTTCGAGGCAGAGAGGAGTGCAGACTTGAGACAATAGTGATAGTGTTGTGCACATATCACACCATCAAAAGGTAGCACTTGGTCCCGGACTGCCGGCTCACCCTTTCCACACAGAGCGCGTCTCCGCTTTGTTTCACCTCTGGTACTACCTCCCAAGGTTGGACCAGAGGCGGAAGGAAAATGGCTCGCCACTCCGGCTTTGCGCCTTACACACAGAAAATGAGATGGAATAATGGCGCACCGATCCCGCCTTGAAAAGGCAGTTTGTAAAGGGCTTATTTTGTCTTACTGCCCAACAGCAGACCCTTCCAGAACCCCGAAACACCAACAAACACAGGAATGCTAATTGCAGGAGTAAGGCCAGAACTCCTTTCTACTGCCTTGCGGTTTCACAGAAACAAGGGTCGGATGCAGGCAGAAACAATGGTGTGGGTGAAAAGTGAAGCAATATGGAAACAGTAGTTTGTGTATGCTGCCACTTATTGATAAAAGATGCAAACTTCCCCTTCACTGGTGTGAAAGGTAAAGTAGAGCTGTAACGTTACTGATTGCCAAGTATGCATGTGTTTTCACAGTCTAAAATAGTCATGTCAATTTTCACACCTTTATTACTTTGTGTACATTGATGAGTTTCATTGGGCACTGCAGACGCTGTCTTCGGTTTGAAAGCCACCTTTTGACTTTTTCCTTCCATCTGTTCATCTCTGCACGTTTCTGTAGCTCCTCTAACCATCTTCATAAGAAGCCACGCCTCTATCTCCTTCACCACCCTTTCTTGCTTCCTGTCCACCCACCCGCCGCCTCACCACCTTTCTTTTTTCTCCTGGAA